TATTTCTATTTTGTTTTTGGGGTCGCACCACTCTGGTACTTTGTGTCATTGTATCGGTTTTTTAATCGCGGTGCGATCCCTTTAGACACATATTTAGTAGTTGTAAAATTCATATAGGTATATAATAAATATACATATAATAATAAAGTTTTTATCAAAAATATGTGAAGCCTACAAATATTAGTTTTTGGTAAAATATTGTGTTACTAGGTTAAAATAACTATTTTATTTTGTTATTGCTAATAGAGGGAGTCTCATTCACCGGAGATGAACAAGGTTTGGAACAATATATTGAAACTGCATTTACTAATACACCCAAAATTTGATATTTTATTTAATAAAATAAAGTAAAAAACGCCTATTGATTTTTTTAATCGTTATTCTTATGTAAAAAGCCATCTTATAATAAAAAATTACGGCGGTTTTTATTTATTTCGCTATCCTCCCTCAACTTATTTTTTTCCTATTAGTATCGTCCCTCAAATTTTTACAATGCGACAAATATGTAAGTGTTATTATTTTTTAAATTTATAAAACAATTATTTTAATTTCCTTAAAATACTGTCGGTCGATCGGCACGCCACTGGAAAATTGACCTCAACCGTCTAATCTTTGTAAACAACTACATTGTTGCCGTTGCGCCGATACTCTATTCCCTTCTTTGTCCATTCTCTCTCGCATTCGTTGATTTTCGCAAATCAATGTGTGATGAAGGTTTAGAGCGTATTATGAATGGAATGTTGTGTCTCCCGGGTTTAAATATCTTTGGTTTTTCGTGTGTTGTCCTGGCCGATTAAAAGATGCCGAAATCGTATTTTTAATAATATCTCAATTTTTTCAAATGGAACGAGGCTGGCTCATTAGCATATTTAGAAAAAGCATTTTTTACGAATAATTTGGCACCACATATTTGGTATTTCGAGTCAAATTGTCGTTTGCCAAAAGCATGTTACAATTTCCAGTTAAACCTCGTATATGGTTTAACATACTATGGTTTAACTGTCAAAAGTTGTGTATGTTAATGTCAAAAATTGATATATGATATGTTATTATATTCAGAGTATCATTTTATATCGAAAGTAGTAAAAATACAGAAGGTGTCATTAAAAAATCAAAAGTTGAAGTTATTTACGGTGGAACAGGATTCAATACAAATCAATTGAATACGCCTATCAATCCTGATTTGTGTCATATATACTAACGTACCAAATCTCGTTTCTTTATCTGAAAAAATAAAAAAGTTATAGAGGTGAACCACCTTAAAAAATAGTTCTTTAAGATCTTTTAAGAATTGGATAAAGAGTTAAATAACTGAGAACCGTAAAAAGAGTAGGTATTGGTAATGTGTAGTTGCTGCAGTTGCAGTATATTATACAGTTTTAAGTTTTAATACCTATACTATGTGTTGCAGATGTTACAAAACTTAAAAACTAAACAACTGATTTTTATTAACATATTTCAACTGTTAAGCTATAGGTACATACATAGACAATTATATTCCTAGTAAGTACAATATTTAAATATTAAAGTCGCAATCGCAGGTTACAGTCGCAGCGATTTAAAAATCGCAATCGCAGTTTCAATTGCGATTGGTTTTGCTCAACTCTAATACAAACACGCTTAGCGGTTGCCATACACCTTGACAGTATTTTAGAAAGAAGAATCGATGATATACCGTGCTGGCAACTGTTACTTTTGGGTCGGCATTTACATGTGTGGAAGTAAATCGCATAGGGATCTTATTAAGTCGGAGTGAGAGAAATGCGACCGACCGACGCGACGCGCGACGGTGTGCTGTTGCGGCGTTGTTGATACGCCTACTTTTTTTTCAAGACATAACTAGATAAAATCATTAGACATGTTTCTGAGCATCTGAAATGGAATTATAAGGATATCGTTAGGGTGTCATTTTTTTTATAACGAGAAAACGTCAGTAATCGCGATAATTCAAAAACTCAATTTTTAACACAGAACAGGCCATAACTCAAGAACCACTTTAGATATTGAAACTTTTTTTATTTTCAAAATCGGATATTTTACAATATGTTTACATAAGAAAACTTCGATAAGGTTGTTTTTTCCATTCAAAAATTGTAAACAATCCATCCATTTACTTTTAGAGCATAGCAATTTTTAGCAATCGTGTAATTTTTTTATTGATAAAGATTTTCACATACTGTCTAAAAAGAAAATACAGCAGAAATATTAACAAAGTTCTTGAAAAAAACTACAATCTATTATTTCTAATAGATTTCGGGATATCGATTTTTGATACCCACTCAATTGTAAAACTTGGAAAATAAATTGGTTATAATAATGGTTTTATAATTCGCAAACTCTCTATTTATGTATCTAGTAATGCTAAAACACTCTATTTGAAAGTCGATTAGAGAAAATAGTATGATTCATTGGCAAGTAATGTAAACATTTACGATCCGGTAAAATTGTGATGTAAGAGGAGGCTTAGCTTGCCTGAGGCGAATCAGTAGTAGTTGATAGGCCGGCAAGCTGTTGTGTTGTGTTGTGTTTTGTCATAGAGCTGATATTTGGGGGTTGAGAGTCTTTTGACTATAAAGCTAGATTTATAAACTCGGAAGTTGGCGTTCAGTTGAGGTTCAGTTGCAGTTGGATATTCGCGGCAGTTGAGGTTCAATATTTTTGCATTTATAAACTGTCAGTTTCGGTTGTAGGTTAGGTTTGGAATTGTGAAAATTTTGAACGTTTTTCTTTCGATTTAAAAATGCTTTTGGTATTTGTCAAAGTTCAAACACAGTAATCCACGATTACGCAAAATATAAACATTACATTAACAGAAATAATGAAACAACAATAAGGGTCATTTTCCAATGCATCGGCGTACTGTGCTTCACGTGATCGACAGGCGCTTATTCATTGGCTGTCGCCGAACGTCGCCAGCGGTCGCCAACTGCCTGCAACTGCCGACATAAACATTGACCATCTTTGAACTCCGCTGAACGTAAAACGAACTGCCAACTTCTCGACCAACTGACTTTATAAATGCGCGCGTTCATTTCAGTGTTGAACATTTTGAACGGCAACTGAACCTCAACTCCCGAGTTTATAAATCCAGCTTAAACGTTGCAAGTACTGTAAGGCAACGGGTCGTTTGACCGGAAGAAAACCTCTTGTGACGTCTTGCCTTCGAGGTTGGTCTTGAGAGTTTGAGGTCTCCCTTGTCTTCTCGATTGACACGATGCGGCGTTGGGGTAGTGAGCTACCCCAATTAGCTTATTCGATTGGGATGCGAATCTGTTTAGCGGCAGATTTGCGTCCGGAGGAAGCCCCTATACTATTTCAGATGACACTAGCTAGTTGTTGAAGATGATTAACCAATATATAACCGAATGATATTTGAATTAGATGGAAAATATGGAATGGGATATATTGAATAGAATATATCAGTGGCTAGGGGCGGAGTACCCCCGGGTGAGTCTTACTATTTAACTATCAATTTTATCCAGATCAGTAAATGTTTGTTTTGTTATTTTCATGTACAATGAGAGAGTGCTTGCCAATGACCAACTAAATGGATATTTGAGGTGAATTTGCATTGTGAGACCCGGTTGAGTAAGCCCCAGAAATAAGCGATTTTACACAATTCCATTTATTTTTACCAAATATGCAAGTGTTTCTAGCTTGTACTTAAAAAAATTCAAGCTAAAAGGAAAATTACAATGACTCGTTAATAAATAAACAAATTAATTATCACGAGACGTAATTAAATCGTGAAGCTGAACGCATGACATCCATAACATACACCTTTCCCTAGAACTTTAAGTACTGACAGAGGTATTGATTGGGTCGGCCGGTCAACTGCGACAAATCTGCTATATCCCCTTCCACGTATCTTAGCGATGTGCACAGTTTCTCGGTTTATTTCATACGTTTGGCAACGTGTTTACTGTCCTCTCTTTGTTCATAAACGCCATTGTACTCTTCTTAAATACGGAAATCTCGACCCAAGACTAACTTTTGCCAGCCCTTAGTACACCTTATAAGTTGATAAACAAAATTTTCATCGATCAAGATTTCCAATGTAACTTTAACCATTTTTTTCGATCATCGGTTACTCTAGAATTACGTAACGAATTATGTAACAAGCTAATAGGTGTTTTGCATTATAAGAGTAAAACAGTACATGAAAATTGCCAGTAAAATAAATTAACTTTTAACACAACAAATTAGTCAGAGTTGCAAAATGCACTTGTTTTTTTGGCGTTCAACTAAAGCGCATTTCCCCCATTTAAAATGCAAGAAAAACAAATTACCTGTAGGCGAGAAAAATGAATAAAATTCTCGATTATTTTTGCTTATTAAGTTCCACGGTATAAATAACAATGAAAAATAGACAAATGACATTTCGCATTAATCGTGCTACCCACGTGCTACCTACTTAATAAAAGCTTTTAACACATTTAGAACTAATAAAAGTTTTCTTAGTGAGTTTAAAGAAATATAGTTTGGTTGTAATAGCTCTCTCTCTCTCTCTCTCTCTCTCTCTCTCTCTCTCTCTCTCTCTCTCTCTCTTTTTTTTTATAAAAAACTTATTAGATTAGGCAGAAACCTGTCGTTCGAAGTGAATAAAATGAATTTGCCGTAATTGGCTATTTTATAGAAAATCCATATATCTACAAGTTATCGAAAAATAATTCAAAGAACTACTTCTTCGTTTTTCTTGATAGAATAATATACAAATATTTAATAAATATTATTTATTAAACTACTGTCTTCTTCTTAAAGTGCCTTCTCCATTCAGTGAAGATCGGCAACAACCATGGCAAATTCCTTTCTATTTTTCGCTCTTCTCAGCAAAGTATGTGAGTCAAGGCCTGTCCAATCTCTAATGTTCTTAAGCCAGGAGCATTACCGTCGTCCGGGTCCGCGCTTTCCCTCAATTTTACCCTCGATGATGAGCTGAAGGAATTCATACTTGCTATGTTTCATGATATGGCCCAAATAGGCTGCTTTCCTCTTTTTTATTATGTCGAGGAGTCCTCGGTCCTTGTTCTATCTCTATTTATCACCATGACTTTTGTTTTGTTTGTATTTATCCTAAGATTTATCCTAAGACCCATTGAGTCGCCCACCGAAAACAGTCTATCAAGAAGTCTTTGCAGGCCCTCAGTGGTGTCTGCAATAACGACGGTATCATCAGCATATCTCATGTTGTTAATCAGCCTGCCATTCACTTTTATGCCGTCTTCTGATCCCTCAAGCGCATTTCGAAATATTAGTTCGGAGTACATATTGAAGAGCATAGGGCTCAATCCTTGCCTAACTCCACGCTTGATAGGTATTGCTGTTGTTTCAGTATCCTGTAGTTTTACTGTCGCTACTTGTTGTTCGTATAGCTTTTGGATAATTTTCAGGTCTTGGGTATCCAGGCCTCTTCTTTCAAGGATGCTCAGCAATTCCCTGTGGTTGACGCAGTCGAATGCCTTCGTGTAGTCTATGAAGCATAGGTGTACCTCCTTTCGTTGATCTCTGCACTTCTGCAAAAGCACCGATAGCGCAAACAAGGCTTCTCTCGTTCCAGTTCCTCGCGAAATCCCATTTGCTGTTAACTTATGTCTAGCTCACATTTTCTTCGGATTCGATTATGCAGAAGCTTTAAAAACAGCTTTAGGACTTGACTCATCAGACTTATTAAACGAAACTCATCACATCTTTTTGCACCAGTTATTTTAGGAATAGGTATAAATATCGACCTTAGCCAGTCCTGCGGTATGTTTCCGGTATTGTATACCGAATTGAAGAGGTTTACCAATAACTTTAAATTGTCTCCGTTTATTAGTTTTATCAATTCTGGGTAGATGTTGTCCGGTCCAGGTGCTTTCCGGTTTTTGGTGTTCTTTAAAGCTCTCTCGATTTCTGAGATCATTATATCTGGACCATTTTCAGTTTCTATTTGGGAGTGAAAAGAGGGGCCACCGCCATCGAACAGTTCCCTTATGTAATTGGTCCATACCTCCTCTAGTTTTTGTTCGGTTAGGATTGGTTTATTCTCACCGTCCACGATTCTGGTACATGTTCGAGGTTTGTGTTTCCCAGTGACTTCTTTGACTTTTTTATGTAGGTTAAACAAGTCATGTTTTTGGTGGAGCTCCTCGACTTCGCGGCACCTCTCCGTCATCCACAGTTCTTTGGCTTCTTTGATTTTATTTCTGATAAGCCTGTGAGTGTCTCTATATCTCTGAGGGTCTGTGCCTTTAAAACTTCGCCGCTTTTCCATGAGGACTAAAATTTCTTGAGTCATCCACGCTTTATTGTGCTTCTCGTTATTATTTGTTGTTAGTTGTTCTTGTGTTTCCTGCAGCGCTTCTTTAATTTTCTTCCAGATGTTCTCTATGTTATTGTGGTCTTCCAGTCCAGGGGTTTGAGAGGCATTTGGCTGTTGGATCTTTCCTAGTTGCTCGTTGAGTTTGTTGGATACGTCTTGTTGTTGTGCCTCACTTCTCAGTAAACTCATGTTGGGTTTTTTAGTGAACTTCCGAACAAATTTTTTGAGCCTCATTCGGATTCGTGCCACAACGGGATTATGATCTGACCCAACATCCGCTCCTGGGTAAGTCTTTGCACTAAGTACTCCATTTCTGTATCGCTTTGGAGCTAATATATAATCAATTTGGTTACGTATTGGATTTTGCTTTGAATCTTGTGGCGATTTCCACGTATAGAGCCGCCTTGCAGGTAGTTCAAACCACGTATTGCAGATAAAGAAGTTCTCCTCCTGACAGAATTGGATTAAGGTGTCGCCTCTTTCGTTTCTTTCGCCTGTTCCATAGTCGCCAACGACATCCTCGCTTTTCCCTTTGCCAACTTTGGCGCTAAAATCTCCTAATATAAAGGTAATTTCATTTTTTCTGGTGTAAGATAGCAGTTGTTTCACTTCAGCATACCAAGATTTAATTTCCTCTTCTGGTCTTCTTCACATACATGGACCTGACATTCCATGTACCAATCTTTACTGTCCTTGCAGAGTTGGTTTTTAAATAGTTTGAGTTTTTCCACGCGGGGATTCTTAGCACCCCTTGACCATCTAAGGTCTGCCGCGGACTAGGGGCCATTGACTTTTGTTGCGTTGCCATGTTTTGTTTGTCTTGAGAAATCTCTAGAGATCTTTAATATGGTGGTTTCTCGTTGCCTTCCATATCCTTATGCCGTTGACTTCTTAAAGTTCATCCGCCTTTTGGGACGATTTCTCACCCCATGGCCAAAAGAGTGCCCTTTCACACTCCGCTCTTCCGCCCTTTGAGAAAAGACCGTTGGCAGAGTGAGTGCGATCGCTTATCCCGGCGATCACTCGGCTCATTGCTCACCATATCTGGCTACCCTCACTTGGTTTAGTCTGTGGGTCAACACAGTGTACCGGGGTGTGGCGCTTGGAGCCAGCAAGTGAGAGTTGGGTGTCTCGTGAGGACCAGTTATCTGGGACCTCCGCCCGCCTATGGCCTCTGGAGTGACCGTACCAAACAAAAGGTACTACCTCTCCAACACACCCCTACACCCCTAAACTACTGTAGGTAAATTAAATAAAAGTAAACTGGTATAAATTTAAATAAGTCCATAAACTAACTCCGATTTTGAAAATAGCTACTGTCACTAGAAACTTGCCATGACAACACTAGCCATCTTGATTACAATTTTATTTATTGGAAAATCCATTTTTATTCAAAATCTGAGCCAGATAGATATAGGAAACCCTAATATAGTTTGAAAGAGCATTTAAATATGCTTCGACTTATTTAAAAAAATACATAGTGTTGCATTTGAAATAACGAAGTTTTTATGTAAAGTAAATATTTAAAATAGACCAGCAATTTTTGATACCCCTGTATACATTTAAGGAAGGAATAACATTTTTCTGTAAAGTTTATTTCTCTACCTTTAAACTCAGCACAAGAACTAATTCTGAAAAGTAATGTACAGGGTGTTAATAATCTATTTTATTGTAGCATGCAAATTTAAATATCTTTAAATATCTCAAAAACCAAAGATTTTAAACATATTTAACCCTTATAATAAATACCTTTTTTGGGCCCAAGAATCCAAAAATGAAATAAAATACCAGGTGTTCCATAAGAAAAAATATAACTTTGGTATGGATCTTAGTTCTGAAACACCCTGTACATTTCAAAATAATTTTAAATTGTGCACATTACCTCCCCACATATACCCATAAAATATTTTGTTTCTACATCTTTCCGTTTTCGTATAATCAACCGAGGCGAATGAGGTGCGCCACCCTGTATAGTCAAAGGTTTTTAATAATTATTTATTTTATGGTTTTAAGTTTTAATCGTATAATTAAGGTGTTACTTTAATTATACTTAACTATAATTTTTGTACCAAGATATTAACTATCGACACTGTTGACATTGATGACTTTATTTAGCAACAAATCAATTTTCAACGTGACATTCTCGACTTCGCGCGTCGCGCGTCGTTTCGCCTAATTCTGATGATATATCATTCCATTCAGAATGTTCTTTTATATCAAATAAAGTAAAAAAAAACACCGAGGATACCATTTAAAAATCAAAAGTTGTAGTTATGGGTATGGTGAACCAGGAAGTGACCGAAAATAATTGAATACGTCAATCAATCCTGATTTATGTCATATACTAAGATACCAAATCTCGTTTTTTATCTGAGAAAAATTAAAAAGCTATAGAGGTAAGCCATTTTTGAGAAACGCCCGGTATATAGTTCATTTTCTTAACTTTAATTAAATCCAGTAAGTTGAATAAAGGCATTATAAATATTTTCTAAAATATAACAAAATATAGTATTTTTTTAAATAAGTATTCTTAATTATTGTTTTATTTCCTGTAATTTAATTAATATTAAAAAATTTCTAAACCTCTGTGGCGGATTCATCTCTTCAAAAAAATAACATTTAACAGAATGTCAACGGTTTATATAGACGTATCTGTTTTTAGAAAAAAACTAAAGTGTTCTGGAATAGTTGCATTTAGATATTTTAAATAGTTTTTTCTTTTCTATGTGTTTTTTTGCTTCCTACGACAAGAAGAGATATACTTCCCGAAACGTTAAGCGCTTTCAGATGGAGCGGAGCGTCCGCGACGGACCGTTCGCTACTTCGAGCATGTACCATGAGTTTATATGAACAATTTCACATGGGCGCGTACGCTCCGTTCGACGGAGTTCGTCAGACGGTCCATCGCGGACGGTCCGCTCCATCTGAAAGCGCTGTTAAGCATTTTTTTGTCCGTTACAGCGCTTTCAGATGGAGCGGAGTGTCCGCGACGGAGCATCCGCAACTTCGAGCAAGTACCATGAGTTTATATGAACAATTTCACATGGACGCTTATGCTCTGTCCGACAGCTATCTTGAAAAACACGACGGACGGTCCGTCGCGGACGCTCCGCTCCATCTGAAAGCGCTGTTAGGTAAATTTGTTTATTACTAAACCACTGCTGACAATTAGTCTCCGTTGACTTAACGCCAGCAATGTTTACAAAATAAATAACTTAATAAAAATAACAAACATAAATAAATAAATTATATTTCGTAGATTTTCTTACAGTGGCGAAATACCCATAGGACTTTTTTGAAGAGATTAACTAATACGGATCTAATTTTAAGTATTTAACTTATTACATATTCCATCCCTCATATCAAGAAATGTGAAATATGTATATTAGGGTTTTTTTGGATCGTAAATCTCAAAATTTTAAAATTTTTAAAACATCGACTTGGAATACCTACGAAAAGTTACCTTTAGTAATGTTGATAAAAAACTTTATTTAATTTTTTTTTATTAAATCACGTCTTTTGCCCTCTACCGGCTGTTAAAAATTGAAAACAAAGACTTTTTTTCTTAATAGTCGATCTGGGATACCTACAAAAAGTTACCTTTGGTTATAATAATAAAAAAGTAATATTACCGCTTTTTGATAAAATCACAACTTCTGCCACAGTTTTAAGCAAAACTCCTCGGAAACTTTGAAGGCCATTTATTTTGACGGAAGGAAAGATAAAAACTGTTCTTGAAGAACATATTTTTTTAGTACACGAGCCAGGTTCTATATTTTTGGGTCGCAGAGTTGCCAGTTCTGGATCGGCTCTAAGCATTTGTTAACTTCTTAGAAAGTACTGAATATGACCTAGAAGAACTAGTAGCAGTAGGATGTGATGGAACCGTGGTGAATACAGGAAAAAAATGGTGCAATTTCTCAATTAGAATTAAAATTAGGACGCCCTTTGCAAAGATTGATCTGCCAGCTTCACGCTAATGAGTTACCTCTTAGGCATCTTTTTGAAAAGCTTGACGATCAAACCCTAGGTCCAAAAGCTTTTGCAGGAACTATAGGAGATCAAATACAACAGTGCGAAAATATACCAGTTGTGAACTATACCATTATTGACTGTGATTTACCAGACGTGGATTTTCTTGACTTAAGTGCCGATCAGAAATATCTGTATGAAATTTGTGTTGCTGTTTCTACAGGTGAATGTTCCGTAGATTTATTAAACCGAAGCTCAGGAAAGTTAAGTCATTCTCGATGGCTAACTTTGGCTAATCGCACCTTACGTCTTTATGTTAGTACCGAAAATCGAACATTACAATTAAAGGAACTGTCCAAATTTATTGTCAAGGTTTATGCTCCTTTATGGTTTCAAATTAAATGCAACTCTTCATGTGTAAATGGTGCCAAACATGTTTTAAAAACAATAAAACGCAGCCGATACCTAGAGCAAGATTTAAAAAATGTTATGTGTTATAGACCCTGTAATACAAAGAAATGCCTATTTGGTCCATCCAGAAAATCTTCTGATATGTATGCTGCATGACACTCGCCCCCATATAAGAGAGCTTGCACTTCGCCGCATTCTAAATGCAAAAACTCAAGACAATCGTTCACGCAATATCCGACGTTTTATCATACCACAAATTAATATTGACGCAGATGACTCTGTTGATCTAATTGATTAGCAAAAAAATGAAATAACTTGTCCCCCATTGCTTCAAACTTTGGAAGTAGATGATTTGAAAAATATGATTTTTAGTTCTTCTGAAACAATCATCGACATCGCTGCATTTCCCTGTCACACTCAATAAGGTAAAGAGATACGTGAAACTTAGCATCTTTATCAGTTGTAGGCATACAACGAAGCATCTTTATCAGTAAACGAAGCATCTTTGTCAGTTGTTGGCATACAAAACAGAGACAGTTTTATAAAGACAAAAATAAATTCGCGCAAACTTATGCCACAATTTGAGTCAAAAAAAGACTACAATGAATAAGTGAGTAAAAATAAATGGATGATGGAGGGTGGGATGGAACTCGCCGAGCAGTTACCTCCCCGTGATGAGTTCTGCGTTGTTTAACAATACTGAATACACAAAATATTGTTAAACAAGCGAAAAACGTCTCTAAGTGCTCTGCTCGACACATTTAAAGTGTGTAAAGTGTGTCTTTGTTAAAGTGTGTAAATATTTGGGTATTTATAAAAAAATTGTTTGACCTTGGTACATAGGGTACACTGAGTAGGAGGGTTAAAATGTCATATTTCAATAAGATATATTATTTCTAATTACAAAAGTTACTTATTACCTGAAATTTTGGCTAAAAATCAAAATTTTATATTTTTGTATTTTTTACTTTTTTTAAAGCCCGGTAGAGGGCAGAAGATGAAAAAAAATTGAAAAACTATAAATAGATATTAGTATTCTAATACCAATTGGCAACTTTTGCGCAGTATTCCAAAACGATTTTCAAAACTTCGATTTTTCGATCCCCCTAATGTACAGGGTCCGGCAATAGTGCGTCGGGCATCTGTAGCTAAGTGCAAATGTAAAGTATGTACCAGGATGTATTTCAGGAAAATATTTTAACTTCTGTAGGGTGGCTCAAAAAAGTGTGAGTGGACCTGGATGATTTTTTTTAAATGGGACACCCTGTATATTATTGAATTTTTGGCTTTC